CAGAATCTCATGTTCATCTGGTACCCCAGAATATGCTCAGAGAGGAGGGATGCTTTCGTAAAAAAATGACTTTGGCCTCTAAGATCCCTTAAAGCACACGAGTGCCACCTCTTGGTTTTGCTTGGTTTTGTGGTATACAGAACGTTAAAGCAAAATGAGCAAGAAACTGGGGAAGAGAAGGAAAACAAAAAAAACAACCCCACACTCTCCCTCTTTGGATTCTGTCTCAAACTGCCAGCTGCCTCAAGCTGGAGATCTGGCAGCCCACTGTGCCAAACACACAGCTCTATATATCTTACCAGGATATGGTAAGATATGGACGTTTTTATAATTCTGGTATTAAAAAATAGATAAGCAAAGGAGACCACAAAACTCCATCCTGTGGCCCTGCTTTAAASCTCTGCCTGCGAGTGCTGCACAGGCAAAGGCACCGTCCTCAGGAAATCCACCCACCCCAGCCTGTCAGAGCCCCCGCGTCCAGCCAGACCTAGCCAAACTACTCTCCTCATCACATGTGAGCTTRTTTTTCAACAGCTGATCACCAGCTTGCAACAAAATGAAAAAGCAAACACCAACAATTAAAACTCGTCAGGCTGTTTCAGCATAAAACAATTTTCAATGAAAAATTCAAAAGAAGGTATAATTTTAAGGATCATTATGGAAATCAGTATCACTTCCAAAAAGAAAAGATGTAGCACAAACCGTCTTTTCACTTCAGTATATGCTGCAAACCTAGACATTTCTCACTGCCTGTCATCTGCAGGTATTTCCATTGCAAAGGTTACAAAAACACAGAAAAAAAGATTTGCACAGTATGCCCCTGTAAACCAAATTTATTTTCCAGAAGCATGTAAAGTAGACAAGAATAGAAACACTACATGTGGTTTATGCAGGGGAAAAAAAAAAAAAAAGAGGCCATGAGGCTGAGTGCCATTCTAGTATTTGATAAAGAGATCTGAATTCCTCTTCCTATTTTGCTGTGACAATCAATTTTTTGCCGTCAATAAAATAATTCAGGGAACTTGACCTGTTTATAAAAGCTATTCTGGAATGTTGTGTGAAAGCAATTTAATAGTTAAGAGTTATGAAATTAGCTTGCTGTAAAATAAATGGGGAACTAGATGTGTAATTCATATATTATTCAGACATGAATTTTTGTATTCCAATATCTCCCCCTGTGCAGCCAGCTGTTAGCCAGTAGATAAAAAATATCTCAGAAATGCATAGTTGCCTTGTGCCAGTGATTAGTCCTCAGAGAGCCAAGAACACCTTCTACCTGTTCTAAAACTGCAGGTGTTYGCTCTCAGCTTTGTCCGAGAGAGACTGGCTGAACAGCGCCTGGATCAAGCTGCAGCTGCAGTTCATGACACAACCCCCTGCTACTGTGGGCTTGTGGAACTCTGAGCAGCTTCACAGTTACTTTGGAAAACAGGGTCTGCTTCCAAGATGTAGTATCCTAAAGCATCTGAAAGGAAAATCTCATTTTGTTACTCAACTTCTTGGCATACGCGTGAATGAAAATTATGTCACAGCCCAAAGCAGACACAAAGACAGAAAACAACGCTTCTTGTAACTTGCAGATTCTTGGAATACTTACTCCCCCACTGGCACCATGGATCAGCACACTTTCCCCTGCTTTGGCACATCCTCTGAATGACAAAACAAGGCATTAGACTAAAATAACCATAAAATATCAGGTTACATATAATGACATCTAATCGCCCTTCCTCACTATTTCACACAGCAATTAACAAGGAAATAGTATTAATCATACAATTCACTCATTTAAGCAATATGTAAATTACAGCACAGGCAACCAGCAGCAAGTAACAGCCTGATACGGAACCCCGACTCCAGCTGTTCACCTGTGCCGGCTGCCACAGCCGCCCAGAGGAGCCCCCGGCACCAGCGGGACGCGCGGTGGCACCTCCCGCCGCCCGCACAGACAGGCRGCGCCGGGCACCGCGCAGGGGCACCGGGGCAGCCTCCCTTCTCCCCACAGCAAGGACACCAACGAGCACCGGGCAGGGCGGCTGTCGGMGCGTGGTGCAAACTGCGGGAGCCTGAGCTCCTGAGGGGGCCAGGAAAGCCGGGACGGGACAATACAGTCGGTAACCTCCATGTTACAGCTTACCTGACAATACCATCGGTTTAACAAATTTAACAAGTCTTTCAATTACACCCACCGATCACCTCTCATTTATGGAATAATGGCAGTATGGGCTGCATTATTTAAAACACTCAAAAGCAAAATACACAAGTAGATTTGTCATCTTACTTTTGGAAGAGAGCGCGGTAAGCAGTGAAATAGGGTATTGCAATGGCTGCACCTTGCTTGAAGTCCAGTTTATCCGACAAAGGAAAGACAGTATTAGCTGCAGCGACTGCATAATCTGCATATCCACCAGAGAGGGTAGCAGTAGTAAAAACCCTGTCTCCTTTCTAGRAAGGGAGGGAAAGAAAATTATTAATGAATAACAATAATTTCCCTTATTTTTTCCTTAATAAACATAAACTTCTCTGAACTAGTTAATTTTTTCTATAAGTTTTTCTGTTAAAAATCTGTTATTTTTTATAAACGCATACAATAAATGTGGCACAAACTATACACTTAAATTTAAACATCATAAGTAGATGCTCTGCCCTAGTGTGATATGCAAACCTACAGTCTCATTAATATTAGCAGTAATAAAACCAAAGGCTAAAAAAAAAATCCATCCACAAATTCCAAACGGAAACTTCCAAAATATTTTACAATGATCAGAGAAACAGTCATATATATATATATAAAAATATATACACATATATATAAACACTAAGTATACCCCAAGGTAGAAAAATATTGCCAGTGTTTTCTATGAGAGAACATTCAAAGCAGCAAGTCAGTGGGCTGTGCAGGAGGTGGGTCTCTCTGTGTGCTTGGCACATGTGTGCATACATAYATACGTGTGTCTACCATACATTTCACTCCTCAGACACCAGCTACTGCCCACCGCACACAAACCTGTCACAGAACAGCRATTTCTCAAGCACTCTGAGTATAATGAAATGTAAATGAAATGGACTGGCTGGCTCTTCCACTCAGCAGTTTCCAGTGTTTGTCTACAGCAAACACTGCACTCACCTTCTTCACCAATCGAGCAAATCATCATGATGTTCGTAAGAAACAAGAAATGAACAAAATGGATATAAGAGGTAAGAAAATATGATCTGTCTGGGTAACAAATAAGTCATTTCTCAAGCAACAGTGACATGGATTCAAGGCAAGGAAATTCCAGTAGCTTTTCCCCAACAAAAACTATAAAAACACCCGACAATTTATAAGTTTGTCTGAGATCCACAATCTAATGACTTGAAAGGAAGAATTGATCTAAAAACTGAGTAAACTTCACAGATGCCTTTTAGCAACTGCAGAACTTYCTTCTATCACAGGAGTTTTGGACTACAGCAACTAAGTATCTGAACAGTCTTACCAACAAACAGGAAATTCAGAGAGGTTTTTTAATCAGTCAGTAAAACAGAAGCTGTTCCCATTTTTCCACAATCGTACCAAAGCTTTTTCAGCTCTGCCTGAAATTACCCCCAACAGGTAGCATCCAACTCTAACATCTCTGTGATGCTTTTGAGCTCCTTCCAAGCACAGGTTCGTACACCAGCTCTCACAGGAACAGACCGAAGGGCCGCTCCTGAGAACCTGCAACTCCCCAAGCCTCATAGAGCACGAGAAACTTCCCCACGTTCACGTGGCAAACTGGCTGTGGTGGAACTCCAAAGGGTAAATACCTTGAAGGCKGTCACGTGTTGCCCAACGCTTTCAACGACACCCGCCACATCGGAGCCAGGAGTGTAAGGCAAAGTTGGCTTTCKAGCGTATGTGCCAGAACGGATGTACGTTTCCACAGGATTCACTCCGCAGGCATGGACTTTAATCAGCACCTGAAAAAGAAGATTCCTGYTACACAAACAAATAAAACAAAAGGATTTAAAGATTCTCAGTACACAGCTGTGGATTCTGAATTTTAGCTAAACTCATAAACAGGGCTGGCAAAAGCTTACTGCTGAACTGAGCACAGTTTAAGATGCTTTCTATGGGCCATGTAGCTCATGCAGTAAACAGACCCCCGAAGTGGTTCGTGTGACAGCCGGGCAGCGTGCGCAGCCACAGCTCTGCTCAGGGCACACGGTTCCTCCCAGGGTATCATCACTCAGCCAACAGAACGCCTACCTGATTTTCCTTCGGGACGGGAATGGGCACATCCGTCTGCAGCTTCAGCACCCCGGGGCCGCCAAACTCAAACACCCGCACAGCCCTCATCATGTTCCTCGCTGCTGCCATGATGAATCAAATGACCTGACTGTGCCGAAAGGAGGAAAAACCTGGAGCACTCGGGCGGCTTCCCGCCTTGTTCCGCCCCTCAGAGCGGGGCAAGGGCCGGGCCCGGGTCACGGCTGGGGTGAGCGGGGCCGCCCCGCGCCGCAGGGCCCCGCGGCGGGCAGCGAGCCCGGCGGCAGCGGCCTCCGCGGCACGGAGCGCTGCGAACGGCCACCCGCGCCCGGGAAGCGCGCGTGGAGCCGCAACGGCCGCCCTTCGTGCCGCGGGACAGGGACACGGGCAGCGACAGCTGCGTCCCGCCGGAACCTCGGCCC